CCAACTGCGTACTGAATCCCAGAATCACAAGTCATTCAAGGAATGTAGCTGAATGAAGCAATACGTTTGTTCTGCGCAGTGCTGAACTGTCCAACGGTGGACGATGGAACATTGTTAAGAACAGGGGGCCAAGGCCATCATAAGTTGAAGAGACTTTGCTGGTCTCAAAGGTCAACATGGGAGGGTGTGCAAAACAAGAATACAAGTCCTGCTCAAGGCTTCTTGCGGGCCAACCCAACAACAAGGTATGATTCACAGCTTTGAAACATTACCTCATCAAGCCACACGAACATTCCGAACATCTTTCATGGCTGTTCGTGCACTCCCTGCTGTCAGAAGCACTAAAATGTTATTGAATTCCCCAACTGCTACCTAACAAACAAGCTGGATGCCGATCCATGTGTTTTTTGACATTTGGAGCAGCAAGCCATGTGTCCGACAAAATAATGCCAGCATAGACCCCAGATAGAATGGCTCAACAAAATGTCCAGAAAAAGGGATCGGGCTTACCAACAAATTGTTTGATGGTCAAGTTTCTACCGAGAATGGTCTTGTCGATCTGTGCAAAGCTGATAAATCCAATGCCTACAAAGGCATGTGCGCAAGCAAAATACTCGTGCCTTTCACAAACACGATCTAGAAAAGTCAAGCAGCTGCAAAGCAAGGCCGTTAGGTCGTCAATAGCCGACACATGCACTGCACTGACACCCTGTCTCCAAAGCACCTACGCACTCCCCAAGACACCCAGAACAGCACCTCACCGACGGCACGAACGCCTTGTCTCCAAAGCGTCCACACAGTTCCAAAACCCTTGGACCAGCCAACACCCTGTCAACAAACCCATCAACAGCACCTGCATGGACGGCACCAACACCTTGTGCCCAAAGCCCGCACAGCCAATTCATACCATACCTAAAGTAAGAACCCCATAGCTACCGCTATCTGTGAAAACTGGGGCTTTGAAGCGAATAAAGAAGAGCCCATTATTGCAAGCAAGCAGCTTGACCCATCGCAGCGGCTAGGAGCATCGGCAGAGCTAGCCATGCGCAGCGAGGAGCCTTGGAGGATGTGGTCATGTGTTCTGAAACTTTGGCCAAACAAACAACGAAGTCACATGGCCAACACCCCTTCAAACAAGCTCGCCGCAAGGTGGGGGCCACAAAGTTTGGGAGAATGTGACTTTCTAAGTTTTTGTTGCAGTAGTCAAGCACCATGTACTCGTTCTCTAGGGCGGTGCCAAATGTCCAAGGGCGGCACCTGCATCTTTCTCCTTGCTCTGAATGGTGCCGACATCGGAGGTCAGTCTGCCATGCCACACGCAGGTGGTGTGATGACAGCTGTTCGGAGGATGTGTATTTTACTGCCTGGGCTTGTGGCAACTAAGATTTTGCGACACATATTGCCTCTGAGCTCCTGGTTGCCCATAGCTTGCAACAAGTGATATGTCATACAGTGGTACATCAAAGAATCAAAGAACAGCACCTGAAGCCAGTGATGGCCGCGGCCAAACCGACGGATGAATCATCCCCGCACCAAGAGAAGTCCCAAGTGGTCTGATTCGCACCGAAGATCCGAAATCTTAGTAGCGATGCCCTTTGTTACTAGCAGCTTCTCGTTCCTAGTGGTAATGGTCTCCACCCTGGTAGCGATGGCCTCCAACCTGGCAGATTCTGGTTCCTAGCCGTAATGTTTTCCACCCTAGTAGCGGCGCCCTTTGTTGCTAGTAGCATTGAATTCCTAGGAGTAATGGCCTCCACCCTAGTAGCGATGGCCTCCAACCTTGTAGCTTCTGGTTCCTAGTTGTAACGGCCTCCACCCTAGCAGCGATGGCCTCCACCTGGTGGTTTCTTGTTCCTAGTAGTACTGGTCTTCATCACAGGGGCGATGGCCCCCAGCCTAGCAACTTCTTGTTCCTAGTAGTAATGGCCTCCACCCTAGTAGCGATGGCCCCCAACCTAATAGCTTCTTGCTATACCTAGTGGCCATGGCCTCCACCCTAGTAGCGGTGCCCTTTGTCACTAGTAGCTTCTTGTTCCTAGGAGTAATAGCTTCCACCCTAGAAGCGATGGCCTCCACCTACTCCACCCTCGTAGCGATGGCCTCCTAGAAACTTCTTGTTCCTAGTGGCAATGGCCTCCACCTACTAGCGATGGCCTCCAACCTAGTAGCTTCTTGTTCATAGTAGTAATGGCCTCAACTCTTTTAGCGGTGGCTTCCTGCCTAGCAGCCTCTTGTTCCTAACGGTAGAGGTTTCCACCCTACTATCGACGGCCTCCAACCTAGTAGCTTCTTGTTCCTACTAGTAGTGGCCTCCACCCTAGTAGCGATGGCCCCCAACCAAGAGTAGTTTCGTGTTCCTAGTAGTAATGGCCTCCACCTAGTAGCTTCTTGTTCCTAGTAGTAACGGCCTCCACCCCAGGAGTGGTGGCCTTCACCTAGCAGCTTCTTGCTTCTATTAGTAATGGCTTCCACCTGGCCCTAGCAGCGATTCTGTTTGTTACCGGTAATGTCTTGTTCCTAGTAGTAATGACCTTGACGGCCTCCAAACTATTAGCTTCTGGTTCCTAGTACTGATGGCCTCCACCCTAGGAGCGATGGCCTCCAACCTAGCAGCTTCTTGCTCCTAGTAGAAAAAGTACTAGTAGTAGTAGGAGGAGGAGGAGTGGTAGTGGTAGTGGGAGTAGTGGTAGTAGTGGCCTCCACCTAGTAGCTTCTTGCTCCTAGTACTGATGGCCTCCACCCTAGTAGCAATGGCCTACACCTACTAGCGACAACCTCGAACCTAGTAGCTTCTTGTTCCTCGTAGCAATGGCCTCCACCTAGTAGCTTATTGTTACTATATAGTAGTAATGGCCTCCACCCCAGTAGCAACGGCCTCCATCTCGTAGCTTCTTGTTCCTGGTGGTAGTGGCCTCCACCCTAGTAGCAATGCCCTTTGTTACTACCGTAGGTGGACGAAATATTCAAACCCTTCAAGCCGCTTGGACTCCTTCTACCCCAAAGCTCAAAGTTAGTCACCCTGCCGAAGTGTTTCTGCGAATGGGCGAAACAAATCAAACGCTGGCAACACAAGTTCAATGAAGTCATGTTCAACATTGACCTTTGGGGGTCGGGGGTTGGTGACAGTCATCGACTGAGGGGTTTGAATATTTGGTCCATCTACTGTAGTAGCTTCGTTCCTAGTAGTATTTGCCTCCACGCTAGTAGCGGTGGCCTCCAACCTAATAGCTTCTTGTTCCTAGTAGTGATGGCCTCCACCCTAGCAGCGATTGCCTCAGCTAGTAGCGTCTAGTTACAATAGCCTCCACCTTAGTAGCGATGGCCTCCAGTAGCGATGCCCTCTAGCAGTAATGGCCTCCACCCTAGTAGCGATGGCCTCCACCTAGAAGCTGCTTGTTCCTAGTAGTATATGATGGCCTCCACCCTAGCAGCGATGCCCTTTGTTACTAGAAGTTTCTTGTTCCTAGTGGTCTTGGCCTCCACCCTAGTAGCGATGGCCGCCTTCAACCTAGTAGTTTCTTGTTCCTAGTAGTAATGGCCTCCAGCCTGGTAGCGATGGCCTCCAACCTAGTAGCTTCTTGTTCCTAGTAGTGATGGCCTCCAACCTAGTAGCGATGGCCTCCAACCTTGTAGCTTCTTGTTCCTGGTAGTAATGGCCTCCACCCTAGTAGCGATGGCCTCCAACCTAGTAGCTTCTTGTTCGTAGTAGTACTGGCCTCTTGTTCGTAGTAGTACTGGCCTCGACCCTAGTAGCGATGGTCTCCACCTAGTAGCTTCTTTTTCCTAGTAGTACTGGCCTCCACCCTAATAGCGATGGCCTCCACCTAGTAGCTTCTTCACTAGGCTCCTCATGAACCAACCCGTAAGGGATGACACGTTCTTTCCCGCTCCAGCACTCCACCCTCATGTGGCTCACAGAAGGTATGCTACGGCTACGTTGGGCTTTGTTAAGTGTTGGAATGGTTCTTTCCTCCTGAAAAGTTTGCCCTCGGGCGCCTCACAAGAGAAATGCTATGGTGGAATGGTCACACCAGGGCACCTTCGTGTTTGAGATCGAAAGCCTGAAGCCTTGGAAGACCTGACGCCTTGAAGATCTGCATTTGGTCTTGTTTTCAAGGCAGACACGACAATTGGGAGGGTGTGTGGGTGGAGCCACTATGGTGAAGGTGTCCGAATCTTCCAACATGCGCGCGTACAAACGAGTCGTTGTCCGTGTGTAATTACAAGCGAGGCGTTTTCCGCGTGCACACACGAGTGCCATGCCAGCTCGGAGGAAAACAATAACAAAGAGACCCAGAATGGATGTGTACATAAAATATATATATATACATATATGTGCATGTATACTGTGCGTACGTACATGCCTTTAATTAATGTTACACAGGTCAATCTGCAGGTATAGAGTCCAGTGTCTCGCTTTCAGATGGGAGCTCACTTTGCTGCATCGGCGTAAGTCTGGCAGGTCCATGGCCAAGTGCTGAAGCTCTCTGGCTGAGCTGCATAGGAAGAATCTGCCCCAAACGAAACCTGTTGGGACCAAAGCTTACGGTCTGGATCTTTTGTTTCATAGCCTGAGCCAAATGACCACTTCTCCTTCCACTTCGATTCAGTCTCCGAGTTCCACCCAGTTGCTGAGTCTTGAAGCACTCCAAACAGCACCATCAAAAGGAACACCCACCAAACCATGCACTGAAAAGACCACTCTCATTCACAGTTTGACCTGCTCCCTCTGCGTTATGGACCAAATTTCTTCCACCAAAGCTGCTTCAGCAGTTTCCACTGGCTAGCTGTCCCATCGCACTCAGCACATCCATTCGGATTCGTCTCTACAGAGGAGATGGTGTGCCAGAACTACAACCAAAAAGCAACCTCCAACACTGCCCACAACCCTGCCGTCAGCACACCAACCAATCATATCTATTTACACACGATCACGAGCCGTGGCCTAAAAAAAAACAAACAAAACAACTCTCGAGGACTTCAACAACAATATGTCTGGTCTGCTTGACCCACTCGGCTGTACGAGATCATTGGTTTTGAACAAGGCTTTCGCAAGCAGTTCAGTCAGATCGGCTCATCTGGTGTAGCTTGTCTTGTAGGCATCGATGCAGCCCATGCACACATAGTGCGTACCCCCGCCACAGCGGTAGCCATCGGCCAGTTTGTAGTGGCAAATGCCGCAGTTCTCATCTGGTGGGTTCGCAACCTGTCACAGACCAGATGAGAACTCTGAAGCTTTCTAAGTGGAACATCCTAAGATGAGAAGAGATCCTAAGACAACTTCTAAGTGGAACATCTAAGTGGAACATCTAAGTGTCACAACTTTGTACCGAAGACGGATCCTCTCTAAGTCTGTGGGTAGATGCGTTCCTGTGGGTCACATCCAAAACAAGAGCTGACTGGCTGGAAGGCTCTGCTGCCATGTTCGCTATGACCCAAAACAGTTGAGCTCACCCCAAATGCACTCACCCGAAGTCCAAGACACATTGAGCTCGAACCATTCAAAGTTCGCGGGGCACAAACCCAAGCAGTCCAAAGCATCCAAGGTCGACATCTCTTCGACCACCTTTTCGCCCTCTTGCTGTGGCAATTTCCTTGGCACTGACCAACTACAACACCGATTTTGAAAACATTCTGGACGCCACGCTGTTCAAAGACGCTGGATCTCTTCATATCTTCGGAACAACTGCTTGGGCACGGCTCTAAGCCGAGTGACTCTTCCTCCTTCACTTCCTCTTTGGGTCTTTCTCGGTTCTTGCCCTTGGCCAAGGCTTTCGCGACCGCCTTGCCAGAGACTCACATCTGCAAATCGTTTGTTGATTTGAGCCTTTCCGTAAATTCCGACACAATTTCAGCAAAAAACACGGGACCTCTTGATAGGTCCAGCGTATATGTTACCAGGTGTCCCCGCAGCCTTGGGCACCCATGCACCAGTGGCACTGGAATGGTTTCGCCATGCCTTTGACCCTCCAGCCTTCACGTGGTCATCTCTTGAGGGAGCTGAGTCGCCAGGCATGTCTTCATCTAGGGGATCATCCATAGCCTCAGTTCCAGCAGGTTTATCCTGGAAGTCCTTTGTTTCACGCGATGCCAACCACGTCTTTCAACAAAGAAAACACTGCTGACAAGCCACAACACTTGTGGAACGCGCATTTTTCGAGAGAGTTGTCTAATAGGTGTTGAAGGTTTTTACCCATCTGCATCTTGCAGCCTGCCAACCTAAGCACCCCGGCTCCCTCCATACCTCTGAGCAGCTCCTGAGCCATCTCCCGTGCCAACGATCCAACTGCCTTAGGCCAAGGTGCTGTGGAGATCCGAGACGTTGATCCGAGACGTTGGGACGATCTGAGATTGTTCGGCATAAGTGGAATTCTCTCCCTCTCTCCCTCTCTCCCTCTCTCCCTCTCTTCGACACTCACAACAAACATTGCATCAAAAAAGATCTTCCTTTCCCTTTATAACTCTCCCGTACGCTTCCCGCATTTGCTGCGTTCAAAAACTTTTATCAAAGGAACACAGGGAAAACTCAGTTTTCACCAACCAATTTCGACAACTAGAACATTTATATGCAGCGTTCAATGCTGCAAACAATCCCGGTGCAAATCCTAGAACCACCACGTGGAAACGCGAAAAGCCATCTTGCTTCCATACATGCATGTATATGCGGGATACACACACACACCAAAAAATATATGTACTGTATATGTATGCATAATTACCTATATAGCCTATATGTGTGTGAATATGATTGTATGTATAGTGGTCCCCAAATAGATATGAAAGTAGATCCCCCACTAAGGACGTATTGGAATGCGTTTCCATCTATTTGGGGACCACTTTATTGCGTATCTATGCAGCGACCTGGTTGCCCACAAAGGTATCAAGGCTGCCTGCGTGAGTTGCCTTGATGCTAGGAGCGCCCCTAGTAGCTTCTTGCTACTAATAGCGATGCCCTTTGTTCTTAGTGGCTTAATTTTACTAGTAGTAAGGCCAGGAGCACCCCTAGTAGCGTCCTTGCTCCTGGTCCTAATAGAATACACACCCAAAAGAATCGTTTCGTGTTTAGCCTCCACTGTTCCAATCCCACGCTGCACTAGTCTGCGCCTGTACAGTGACTCAGGTCTCTCACCCTCATCTGATCTGGGAAAACCCTGACATCTTTTGCCTCGAGATGCATGTTGACAATGTGTTTTGAGGGTTCGCATTTGCCCTGGTTATGCCATCCCACGGCTCAGTCCAGCAGTCCAGCAATGTCACCCAGCACCCAGCCTCTTGCCACGGTGGGCGGGTCCGCTTCGGTGGCCGCGCACGGCCTGTCTCCTTGGCACCTGCAAGACGGAGCAAGGTATAGGAGGCAGGGTGAATTGTGGCAAGCAAATCACATCATGACAACTCACAACATCAAATCACATCACCGGCATGGTTCTTGGATTGTGTTTTTCTTCCCTTTTGCCCATCCTCAAATCACAGCAGGGTTGGCAAGGAATTGGAGTGGAGTTCCATGTGCACAGAGTGAAGAGGGTATGCCACCATGCGTCTGCACATGTCACAGGCACGGCATCCTTATGCGCACTGCCTGGAGAGCTAGGTTCAGGCTTGCTATTCCGCACGCCCTCAGGGGGAAGACCAATCAGAAAGTCTTCAGCAATCCTTGGATTGAGGCCAGGCTCTGCAGAGGATTCGGACTCGCATGTGTCCCTAGGACAAAGGTCAAAAGATTTCGTCACACATCAGTCAAGGAGCAATTGTCTGCATTGAAGACCACTCACCGCTTGCTGGCTCTGTGGGTCGCCCAGTCGTGTGGCCAAGCGCCGGAAGGCACGCTCAGCCAGTGTCACTGCCAGGCCTTCCGTCGGCCAAAAAATACGCCTCCCACTCCCACCCCTGCCAAGCTCTTTCTTGGCAAAGACCTGGTCAACCAATGCCATTGTCCATTGGGGTGTTAGGTTTTTGACACGAGCCTCCAAAATGACAACAAGGCGGCCTGAATAAGGAACTAATCTGCAGGCCAAACTTCCATATTCTGCGAATTGACAGGAGAACGGTGTGTCAACGGGCGATGCAGTTGCTGCGGCCTCCATTGTGCTGCGCAATCTCTTGGCCATGCTGCATAGAGATATGCTGGGCCAGGGCCTCAGTTAAGCCTGGTGCAAAGGTCAAGTTGAAGCGGTCTTGCGCCGCGTGCTCACCTCAGATCAGATGAGCATGGCCACAAATGTTGACTCTTGCTCTTTTTTTCGAAGTACAGGGCACAAGCGGACGATCTCTAGAATACAGAACCGTACTTGTGCATGAACTACCTCCCATCAGAGCACCCTCTGTGGCATCGTCCATGCCAAACTGTGGAGAAGCTCAATTACATAATTTTGGATCGTGCTGCCCTGCTGGCACAATCAGCCTTCCAAGGGGTCCATTGTAAGGACAAATACCAGCAAGGACTGACATATACAGTACCAAAGACGTGTTTGACCTGGTCGACACTAGAGTTACTAAAGAGTGATATCAGGAATGCACCAAATCACAAATTTCCGCCAACTCCTCAGGACTGTAATCCTCCAGCTGCAGCACCAGGGAGAAGCGACGCCGGAGTCCCGGGTCTGCATCCATCAGCACCTCAGCCATCGCCCCCAAAGCTTCTGGTGCGTATTCATCGAAAACCATTTTTTAGGAAAAAACAGGTGGGTACCCATCGGTGGCGGTTCCCCTTTTTTGGGTGACGGTCTATACGCGTTCATTTGCGCAGATACCCTACTTGGCTCTGGCTACACGGCGCAGAGGGCTCCCAGCATCCATCTGGGCTCCGAGCATCCATCTTGTCTGCATAGCCAGCCAAGACCACCTCGGCAGCGCAGCGGTGGTTTTGGGCGTCCAGCCTCTCTGCCAGCCTGGCATCTTACTTGACCTCCCCTTGGATAGATCTGGAGGTGATTGAAGCAGGTGGCATGTTGGAAGTGTGGACAGCGTCACATATCCTAAGTACTGGAGTTGCAAATTGGTGTTTTCAGCTATCAATTGTAGTTTAAGCATGGCTACTCTGCAGATCAGTTGAAGAAACACCGCCAAATATGTGGAGGTGCAGGCAGGTGAGCGGTTGGTTTGTCGTTTTGCCATCGAGATCTGTCGCCAGTTCAGCTCAAACGCCAGAAGCCCAGTTCGGTGATTTTCCACCTGCGCAAGCCATCAGTGCTGATTTGTTCTCGACTCACCTTTGGGGTTTTTGCTAGTATTGGCTCACTATCAATCACAAATCCCCCTGAATCTTACTAGCTGGCCTCAAAACTCTTGATTCCAACTTGGAAATTTATTTCCACATGAACTTCTTGACATGAGGTGTATGAGGTGTTTTCCAGCGTAAAAAGACAGGTTCGAAAGGTTCGCGCTCACGACTCCCGTGAGCCTCCGTGAGCAGCGTGCGGATCACCTCTCCGCTGAACTTGTCACCCCCACGGTCGGCCAAGGCATAGGCCTTTGGTCGGCCAGGTGGACGGTGGTTTCACTTGGGTCGATGGTCACCGGAGACATCAAGGTCCGTCCCTGCACCTGGAACAGGCGCTCTGCGCAAAACGGGCATTGGACGCTGTTTTTGTCCGAACATGTTGGAGGATGTCTTGGAATTTGGGTGAGGAATGTTGCGCTGGCACTTCATCCATCCTTGCCGTTTCTGCCAAAAATCGGCCCCTAAACCCAAGCCAAACACAACAGGATTTTCAGGCTGCACTCCGTTGAGGTGGTCCAATCCAAGGCCGCCCATGTGCGCCTCATCGATGAAAAGACAGCCACCCATTGCATCGCCTAAGCAAAAGGTTGCCAGGCAATAGACTGATGTGAGGCACTAAACGGTCACGCCACCGAAACAACTGACAAGGTAGGAGAATGTAGGAACCGTGTTGGACACTCTTGGGGCTTTTATGTCTGCCAGTTGGAAGGGCAAGTAATGTACCTCGCAGCATCTGCAACAACATCAACAACCAACTCCGCAATAGACTGACCTGGCCAATCAAAGAAAAAATGTGGATTCCTTCAGGACGCCTGGTGCAAGGAGAAACCTGAGAGATTCTCAAGAAGTAAACTTTAAGAACAGAACTTTCGACGTGTCAAACACGAACCGAACCTGGCCCCTCCTCACTTGGCCCGAGTTGGGTCGCACAAGTGTCCGCATCAAATCGGCATATAAAGTTTCGGCCAGAAACGAGGATGGTCACAGTTGGGTTGCACGTAGTATCTGGCTTGACTTCCTGTAACATCTGGCGAGTCACGGACTGCCTCTGCAACAGTCGGCGCCGTTTGGCCCACAAACTGGCCTGGCAATTCACGACTAATGTGAATCTTCTGGATGCTTTCACACTTTCATGGCCGTCTGCCAGTGGGCCATCTGCGTAAAAAGAGACGGGTCAAAATCTAGCTTGCTGTTCTGTAATTGGTGAGTTTCCAAAACCCCGATCAGGATGGGTAGCAGGCTAGCCATGAACTTCTAATCATTGTTATACATGTGTGTCTCAGTGCCTCAGCACTGAAGCATAAACTGAGCACAGGAACGAAGCTATCGCAATTGACTGTCAATGACACGAACCGCTCCCCCGCATGAAGCTTCGTCGCTTGCCAGTGGACCAACAGTCGGGCGGTGTTCTGCGATCTGAGCATTTCGCTCTTGGCCAGCCACTGCTACTACAACACTGCCCGCCGGTCAGCCCAACACCTGCAACTACCACCATGTTGCATCTGCATGCTGCTCTGCCCCACCTTTCAGTGCCAAGGCATTGCGCTCCACGAAGGTGTCACGGGGCAAAACACCATGAGCATAAAGGTAGCGCCCAATGAGCCGTGCCACAGTGGTTTTGCCTGTCCTCAGAGAAGCGGTACAACCACCGACGGCGCGCGGTCGGCGGTCACGATCGGCGGTCGCGAGCCGTAGCCCTGGCATGCTAGGTGAGCTATGTCTTTGCGGGTGTAGTTTCAAAATCTTTAAACTACTCAGCCCGCTATTCCTCGAAAAACGCTGCTGAAACTCATCAAAGCATCCCAGGGTTCCCAGTCAGGCGCAGGTTGAGGCTTGTTTGCAGGACCCTTGGATCGCCCCCACGCTCCACAAAGGCCACCGTACGTGACAGTTCTTTGAAGAAGGCCTTCACATTCGCCATGCCTCGAACGGCGAGGAGTTGCTCAGGCATGGGTCCATGGTCTTGCAATTGTGGCCGAGCAAGGCCTAGAAAAGAGCCGTCCAGGAAACTCACACAAGCCCCTGACCTCCAAAGTTATCCAGCGTCAGTAGGCTTCTTGTAAGGCCTCCTTGGTGGAGGCCTACAGCGTCCAACCGCAACAGCCTCACCTGATCATCCAAGGTGCCGGTGAGACGTTCCACCTCCTCTTGGACTCGTCTCCTCAACTCTGGATCACCCATGGTGGGCCTCTCCTGCAGCGATTTGCAGATTTGCAAGAAGAAACTTCACAAGCAACCTTCTTGCGACTTCGGGTGCCGGAAAGAAACACAAAAAGCACCTCAAATGATGGCCACAAGACACCTGAGCCACACTTTCCCCTCACCACTGGCCACAACTCACTTGACTTTTACTCCTCAATGCCGAAATCTGCAGCAGTGAAGACTGCGACCTCCGCCTTCACCTGCTGAATGCTGACACCACCTCAGTGGGCGCAGCGAAGATTAAGGAAGGACCTGGAGTGAGGTCCAAGTTCTGCAGCCTGCTGTGAGATATATCCGCCGACCCCGGCCTATAGCCAAAGCCTAGGCGGGGAGGCGCCTGGGACACCGCAGGGTGAAGCAGTTGGCCAAGCCTAGCAGAACCCTTCAAGCACTTCCAAAGGCGCAGGATGCAGCAGTTGGCCAAGCCTAGCAGAACCCTTCCAAGCACTTCCAAAGGCCTGTCCGAGGCCTCACCAGCTGGCCGGCCTGTTGCGGCCTCTCTGTGGCCTGTCCGAAGCCTGCCTCCTCTCTTCTTATGGGCTTCCTTCCGAAGGCGACGTTTAGGCATTTTGGACCGCCTTCAAAAGCTTTTCGGCCTCTTGCGGCCTCTCTGTGGCCTGTCCGAAGCTTCTCGGCAGCCGGCAGGCCTCTTGCGGCCTCTCTGTGGCCTGTCCGAAGCCTGCCTCCTCTCTTCTTATGGGCTTCCGA